CCTCTAAAGCCCTTTTTAAATATTGGCGTTACATTTGCTGTCTTCCAGTCATTGAGTACAGAAGCCGATTTAAAGGACAGGTTACAAACCCTAGTTAATAGTTCCGCAATTTAACATTTGAGTTCTTTCAGAACTCTTGGGTGAATGCCATCTGGTCCCGGTGACTTGTTAATGTTAAGTTTATCAATTAATTCCAAAACCTCCTCTAATGACACTTCAATCTGTGACAGTTCCTCAGATTTGTCACCTACAAAAGCCGGCTCAGGTTTAGAAATCTCCCTAACATCCTCAGCCGTGAAGACTGAAGCAAAGAATTTGTTTAGTTTCTCTGCAATTACTTTATTGTCTTCAAGCGCTCCTTTTGTATCTCGGTCATCGAGGGGCCCCATTGGTTGTTTAGCAGGCTTCCAGCTTCTGATGTACTTAAAAAACATTTTGTTATTACCTTTTGATGAATGAAATGAAAACACTGATGCTTATATGACAATTAGTAAACTACTCTAGCCCCTCGTACAGCTGTCTCAGATATCTATCCTGATTACATCTTTGGTGTCAACAAGAGAAAGAAAGCCTGGTGATAAAAAATGAACATTAAAAACAAGTGATTTCAAGACAAAATATTTATTGTACTAAGCTTTCAAAGGGGTATCCATTTTCAATCCTTAAACAATACAATAGATGTGTAATGGGCTAGTTAGGTACTATTAGAAAACTGAATGCAGTTCCCTTAGTGATTTTTGTTCATAAATTAGTCAAGAAAGATAAAAATTTAGGACCTGATCCTGAAAAAAAAAAACTTATTATTGGGCAGAGTCTCTTCAATGGGACTACACCCAATAGCAAGCGAAAGAGTGTTCACAGGACTGGGCCCTTATCCTTTAGTGCTGATATTTATATCACAGTATCATAATTAGTAGTAAATATTAATGAAAAAAATAATGCCAAGCCAAAAGTTCTCAAGCAACAACAACAACAAAAGTAGAAATGGTGGAATAATAAATATCTACAGAAATGAAAACAAGATAAATTCCTTAATTACAGAAGTTTTGCATTTTATTGGGGAGGGGGAGGGAGAAAGTGAGTGGATTGTAGATTTGAGAAAATGATTCAATAAACAAACCGCCCTCTGGCTCGGTCACTGACGGGGTTTACATAAAAAAGGAGATCTAAAAATGTT